AAAAAAAAAAAAAAAAAAAAAAAAACACATCATAGTAAAATTAATACCTTCTCAGTTTCGCATCGAAGCTAAAATAATAATCCTATCTTGGTTTATAATTAACAAAAAAAAATAAAATATGTCGAATGTACTTAATGTTTATTAAATGCACAAAGATTTATCAATATAAGTTTAACAGGAATATTTTTTAATGAAAAATTAAGAGCTATATAAAAAATGATAGTATACTATTTATCTATGCATCTTTCACAAAGTTTAGGTCATTTAGTGAATAATTTTCTTATACGCGTAGTTTCTTGTAAATTGTTTGTTGAGTTTAAAATGGCAGACATTTTATTTTTATTTATTATAATTTAGGTCTTACTAAAATATTAAATATATCATGACTTTATTTTTCAGCTAAAGACAAAAACTACGATTTTAAAAAATATCATGCTGTTAAAATGAAATCAATAAATTACAAATGTTTTGATTAAACGTAAAATTTAACGAGGAATAATTATTAGCACATGTTTAAGTTTTAGAGATTTTATTTAAATTGTATTTTCTTATTTGAAATTAGTTTACATTTGTTGTAATCGATACACACAAAAAGGAGATCAAATAATAATAAATATTCTAGTTTAAGTAGAGGCGACGTATTTATTTACCTCAACAGCCGAATCTGTCAAAATTCATTGTTACTAATAGCTACTTCTGAAATGTATAATATAACACTTGTTGTTCCTTTAAAAATTTTTTAAGATACGCACACTTTTCTTTTGAATATTTTTCAGTAAAAACTTTAAAAACTTTGGTTTGATTATAAACTATACAAGCCTATTCTACCAATATGAATCTATGCATAAAGTTTACGGACAAAATTCCAGTAGGTGTTGTAAATTGAAGTTTATCGCGATTTCAACAAAAGTGTAATCTAAAGGATAGTAAAATAAACTTATAAAAATATCTAAAGAAAAATTTGACATATATATATATATATATTTGACTATTTATTCATTTTTGTTTAAAGTGATATCACAAAAATTTTAAAAATTGTAATTTTATCAAAAATATAAACATTTATAACTATTAAAAGATTAAACTTTCTTTGAAAATTTAATCTTTTCTCTTTTAATTGAAACTCAGTGTATTGCTATGAACTAAATAAGCCAGAAAGATAATCTAATAACAGTATGACAACCAATCATTATTTTGCAATAGAAAATGACATAGATTAGTTTAGATATATTTAGTGTCGTCATGTGAAAATTGCATATAATAAAACAATCTATTGGTACAAACGCTGTGTGCCAAAAAACTATCCAGATAAATTGAAAATGATTATACTTATCAAAGAAATTTATTACATAATACCTTATATTTAAAAAAAAAAAAATTTTTTTACGACAAATATATTGCTTAAATTAAGAAATTGGACTTGTTTATATAAGCCAGTGTCCCTATTTTAAATACAACTGACTTTAAAATAAGCTTATATTATATAAACTAGATGAACCGAACTTAAATTGAATGAATTTAACTTAAAACCACATTAGACCTTCAAAATGTACCTCAAATGAAAAATGAATAAAATTTTGTCATCTATTTTTCGCTTTTACTTTGAACTTAGCACACTACAAAATCAGCTATTTTAGAATTATTTACTTCATTAAATCGAAATTCCACATAGACTTTGTAAAAAGAAAATCAAACTATAATTAATACACTGATTATCAATCAACAGTTATAACTTCACTGCGAAAGGTTAGGTTAAGTTAGTCATTCAGCTAGGTTATTTGAGTAAAATAAAAATGAAAAAAAAACTATTAAACTAGCACTCAGTCAGACAAATCTATATATATTACAAATCTTCATAGAATCGAAAACAATTAAATTAATACAAATGTTTTGTCTCCAAAACTCATTGTGTGAATGATATCATACAGTCGATAAAGCGCACTATGATAAATTATTTAAACGTGTCAAATCAACGGTTTCCGAATTGATTAAACGTATACGTCTCAAGCGCCCGAAAACCGTAAGTTAATCCAGTTAAATATTTTTTAAAATACCATTTAAAATATTGAAATCTAATGAGGAACCAAAATAAATTTACCGTTGCAAAATGTGATAATACTGTATATGCTAACTACCTGATGGCTAAAAACAAAGTCGTAACAAGCCGATAGTAATGATGGCCAGTAAGCAGTAACAATGTGCCTGATGCCGCGTACGTTTAAGATGTCAAATATAAAATTATGATTTATCACTTAAAATAGTTGTACTAAACGTGTTCGACGTAAAATCAATTATTTGGTCTCAAATAGCACTATTGGAATTTAAGGTATGTTATCTAGAAATGAAATAAACTCGTTTGGTCTTAAACATTTTGAAAAAGATCAGACTTTGAATAATATACACACATGTCTTATCCACTAGTATTAAAAAATTACTACATTTTTTTTTTATTTCTTTGTAGTATTTATTCAATAAAAAAACTATACACGAAAACAATTGTAGAAGACAAGGTTTCGAAACAATTTTTTTTTAACATATAGTACATTACGTTAGCTTTAATTTAATATTTTTTTGAAACTTTCCGATACATTTTTTTTTTAAGTCAATTTAAAATCTTTTCATACAAAATTTGCTATTTGGAATCCTCACCTGTAGGAGGTAAAGGGTATAATTTTCAAAAAATATTTATCAAATAAAAGGTAAATTAATAAATTATTTAGGTGATTTGATCATACATTTATCAAAAATTTGTCACAGTTTTAAGTAGAAAAATGTAGAAATATACCGATTTTAAAAATCGTTATTTTTTGGTGGATTTCCTCCTTCATTTATGAATAACGTGGTAATTTTTTTAAATTTTTGAAGTGTCTTCAACCAGATACGATTTCTGATATTCTGACGATCGTTAAAAAAATCGGTTCAATCAGACCTAAAGAAAAGTAGTGACGGACACAAAAAGAAAATATTTTATCAATTTTAATTCAATTAATTATACAAAAATTACGGCTAAAGATAAATTTTAAACTTGCAATTGTTAAAAAAAATTATAACTGTTATAATATTTTGATTTTTAACTATGTCATAATTTCCTAACAATATCCAAATTCAGCTAAGAAGATAACTGATGTAATGCAATTTATCGTACTATCAAGTGACAGCCATATTATAAATAATTGAAAAGAATTATTAGATTAGAATTAGATATTTTTTAATAATAAATGTTTTCGTATTTATACATGACTCGTGTCCGATTGCCCTTTGGCGAACGATTCACTAATAACAACAGCGCAATGGCCATGTACTTTTTTTCTGGAACTCTTCCGTTGTGATTATTCAACTGTCATTGGCAAACATATTCGCGTAATTTGGCGTAAACACATCATAAATTCGTTTGGTTTGACTATGATAGCCGTAATCTGTTTATAGAGGGGAAGCGATAGAGAGAACAGATAATTTTATGTTTATTATTTGGTCCGATGATGGGCTGTCTAAGTGAAGTGTCAGCCGATTTCAAAGACCTCATAATAAAAGTTAATACCTCATATACACGCGAGTAAGAAAATATATAGTGACCAACGAACACAAAAGAATAATATAAAATGTGCACATACTACTGTTGTAGCAGCGGTGGCAACTTGAGCGGAGCAAAGCGCAAGAACTTTCCGCCACAGTCACTGGTCCGATGGTAGTTTAAGCTTCGTTTCAGTAGGTACCAATCCGTCAACGCCATCACACCACGGTAGTATACGCACCCCTATTCCTCTCCTATCCGATGTGAGAATGTGTGTTCACCAATTATTTTTGATTAAGTGAATAATTTAATTATGTGCTTGACGAAAAATGTATACCTTCAGTTCATCTCATATGAGCTCCGTACGGTCAAACCAACGAATAACATTAACAAATGTGAAGGAATTTGAATTACCGTAGCCGTCACATCAATTCATGCAAAAAATTCACAATATAACATAGGACTCAAATCTATATTGAGAATATATAATTAACTTATAAATGGTAATAAGTAAATAATTATATATATATATATATATAAGTTAGTGTAATTGTTTTCCACCCGTCTATTACAAATATTTAAGTGTCAACTTTTTAATACTTAATTTAATATAATCAAGCATAGACTGAACAAATCATTAACATATCTTATAAGTAAAAATCAATTATTTAATTAAATTTCATAGATATGTATATCTTATAAAATAGATAATCATAGTAATCATTTTTAAAATTTCTTTCAAAATAATAATGTCGATTAACAGATTTTTTAGAATTGCATTTATATATATATAAAACGAACTTTCCAATATTTCTATGACAAAATATTAAAAATTGATTTCCAAAAAAAAAAATACAATAGAATACAGAGTACATATACATTAAGAATAACACACTCAAAATCTTGGTAACTATTAAACATTTTTTATTTTTGTAAAGGAAAAAAATTGTTAATTTAAAAAACTATAATGATATGAAACTAAATAATTTTTGTTTTCATTCCTTCAGGGATAAAAAACTTAAACTTTAATTTTCTTTAATGTTAAAAATGTTTTCTTATAATTTTTTTTTTTATTTGATTTTTTAGCTATTTTTTTATTAATTCTTATTTAAGTTTAGAGCGATTTTTAGCCAATTTTCTAATTTTTCCAATTTGTCACAGGTAAAAGTCGATATTGCTCATCTTACAAAATCTTATCTTTGATAATTAATAGACGCATACTCTTATAATCAATGAGAGTTTACTATCGTACAATGTTGAACTATAAAAATAATTTAGGGTCCACTAAAACAGATTATTGTTGCCTCCGGTATCATTAAAACCAAAATAATGATGATATTTTTTTTTTAACTCAAATGTTTAAAGAATTTTAAATTACAAACGGTTGATCAAATAAAAAATAGAAATATCCATTACAAACAATTAAAGTTTAATTTTATCATTCTTGCAGGAATGGAAAAATATTTTTTAACTAATTTATTGTAGAGTTTTTTGAATTAGACAACATTTCTTTTACGATGATATAAAGTTTTCAATAGATTCCAAGAAAATGAATGTTTTATCCTTAATGAATCATTCTGTATAATGTACTTATTGTTGTTCATGTGGAAATTATGAAAGGTTGGAAGAAAAAAATATATACAAGGCATAGAATATACACACACATATATATATATAAATATATATGTTGTTTAAGCATAATTTGATTTGATTAAAAGAAAATCAATATATACAAAGTAAAATAATAAAAGTAAAATTTTTAAGTACAGTTATAACCACAGACAAATAAAGTCATAAGATAAACGTAGTAAGCGTATTATTTTGTTGTATTTGTGATTGTTTTTTAATAATATCTTGATTTTTTAAATATTTTAATAATTTGAAATATGCTTAAACTTTTCAATAAAATTTAATTATAATAAAGAAGACTGAGACATATTTGAGTGTAGGGTAAATTTGAATTGGTAAATGAACCTAATTGCAATTTTAATTTAAATTAATGTAAATTAACCACATCAAATATTAGTAACAGTATAACCAATCATCTATATTTTACGTGAACTATTTTTATATTTATTATTAAACTAGTTTTATTTAATCAATTAAAGGTACTCGCATTCAAATCTACCTTAGTCTCTTCTATACTTAAATATTAATTATAAACACTAAAAAAATTAATTTATTTTTATGTGTACAATTTCAAATACACAATGAATGGAATACCTTAAAAACAATATATCACATTATTTTAAGAATCACATATAATACAAAAATTAATTTAAAAAAATTTAATCTTTTTTTAGTTAAAATAAAAGCGAAATCACTGGGGTACATGTAGATCTGTAGAATTGAAATTAGAATACATTAGTAAGCAATTAATATACATATAAAATTTTTATGTACAAAAAATATTTGTATAAATAAATGTCATTATTTTATGAATCTAACCTATATATATATATATATTGTTTGAAAATTATAAACTATTTAAAACAATAAATAAAATCATGTTAACTACTAACGGCTTAATCTATTTCAAGAAGAAACTTTCTTACGAAATTTGTTAATGCTTTATTTTTAAAGTATAATATTTGATTTAGTAAATATACTCCTTAAACATTTTTAGAAGAGAGAATAGAAAAGACCTTTAAGTGCTACAGTCAAGTACAAGCAAATAAGTATACTTATGTTCTAAGAATTTTCGAATGTTCTGAACACATAAATTATTGAAAACGATTACTTAAAGAGGAGTGGTTCAAATCGAATAAATAAAGCAAGTGATTTTGATACGTCGCGGAAAGGTGAAAAGATATAGTAAATAAAGATAGAGTAGTTTGAGAAGCAGAAACATAGGAGTTTGTCTTTTATTGAATGGTATTTTTAGGGTTTTATGCGGCAGTTTTGTTTTATTAAAGATTGTTAGGACAAAATAATACAAATTAAAATTCAATGTATTGTTTTGATAAAGTTTTTCTTTAGGTTGCTTGGATTTCTTACACGTCAACAAAAGAGCAAAATATTTTGTCTTTTATAATATAAAATTTTTTTAAATATTTGATTAAAAAATTATAAACTAAGATCCGTTCAGTTAATGATTTGGAATGAAAAATTATAATCATATTTTATTTATTATGTAAAACATTTTAATTTTTTCTATTTGCCTTAAATAAATTTACTAAGTGGAATGAATCCATTATATTTACATACAATAAAAAACTTTTGACAAATCATTTCGAAATTATAAAATAAAACTTAAATTTTAACTAAATCACGCAATCAAATAAAAAATGAATATTTAAGTTTGAATTATTTTGACAAGATAATTTTTATGCTTTTAAAAAGGAAATGTATTGAAAAAATTAACTTATTTTGTAAACCGAAAAGATGAATTTTTCTTTCATTAGACGTCAAACTAAATAATTAATTAAAATTCCCAAGCACTAAAAATTCTCATCGATAAAAATACTAAAAAATGTTTTAATCAAATTATTATTATAATAACATTCATACAAATTACAGTTAACCTATACTACTTTCTTAAGTTCTAATTAATTTTTTTAAACGTTAAAAAATATTTAAACATTTTTTAACAATGTGCATAATTTTAATTTTACTATTGTAAATTAGAAATGTGTTATAAAAATTTACTAGACTAAACACGGTTTTAATAATACCATTTTTTTTTATTAATTCTCATAACTCTTGATACGGCTATTAAGTTTAGAGAATTATACAACCCTTGAAGTCAAAACAGTGTCGTTAAAAAATAAACATTAAAAAATCGTTTAGTAACAGTTGAATTTTAAGATTGGACAATAAGTCAACTTAAGCAAAATATCATACATCGTCCTACCCTTTGAACTTAATTAAAACTAATGATTTATTTTACGAACCATTTTGAATAATTGATTTAAGTTAAGTCGACTTTTCTTTAGAAATTTTTAATTCTAAAAGGGATTTTTAAAATATTTTCCGTTAAAAATTATATATTCTTCAGTAAATACTTATCATAAAAATATAAAACTATTGTAAAGATATTACTAAGTATTAGTTTTTTTAATAACAAAAAATTAATTTCCACAAAATTTCGTTACACACATAAATTTTTCTCTATACAATGACTCCCTTTCATTAAGACAATCATTGTCAATTTATCAATATTTAAACTTTTCTCTCTAAAAATGTAATGATACACAGAATAATTTATACTTGCGATTGTGTAAACTAATTATGCGTTTATAAATATATTAAAGTATTTATCACAAACAATTTATATTAAATCCAATTTTTCTTAACAATATTTAACGTTATTTTAATTTTAACGTTTTTGTATATGTTTAGAGGAAAGCTTATTGGAAATAGTATAAAATCTTATTGGTAGTCATGACACTTCGATTAAAGACTTAAGTTTTAGTAGGAAAATTGTTTAAACAATAAAAAAGTTAAATTGTTTTAAGTATACGTAAGATTTATGAATTTTTTCAGTTAAACAAAAGTGCTAAAACTTTAGTAATTTGTAAAATATTTTTATTTGAATTTCAATTCATTTCTATTGGCTGATAGAAAAATGTATAATACATGTATTTATTTTTAAATTATATTTGGGGTTGGGCGATTACAGTTGTCACTATCAAGTTATGTTATACAAAGGTACCTTTGTCATAAGATTAATAACAAATAAAAGATAACACTCTGAATAACTAAATATTTTTGAACGCAATGCGCTTTCTCACTAAATTAGTCACTAGTCATTTTTAAAAAGGAATATCTTCAAACTAAGTACATATAAAATGTAATAGCTAAGACATTTAAGCCTATAGGATTGAATTTTTAAATGTATACTATACATACAGTACCCAATCACATCCACGTCTAAACTAAAAAAATAAACTACCATCAATTTCCAAACATACATAAAAAATAAAAAAATAATTAATCAAGTAACGAACTATTATTTTTGAAGTAAATATGGTCTAGCAAATAAGAAAACTTATTGTCAAGAAGAACTTGAGCAAAATAACTTATAAAAACATTAAACGTTTTTCTGATCATCAATTAATGAAATTATGAAATATAATTAATAGGACTCCTAATAATAATTTATCTTTCGTCAACAAAAAATACTATAATAGTCACGCGTTTAAAAAAATTATAATTAATATTGTTTATACCAAACATTTAATACATATAAATATAAACAGATCAAACTGTTTAAATTAAATAAATAGTTTAATTTATAAATAAAAAACTGGTTATGAGAAACCAAACTCATATTAACAACTATTTAATTAAAAAATGAAAACAAAATAACATTATTTTCAATTTTTAAAATAGTGCTTTCTGATATTTAAAATATAAAAATATATTAAAATGAAACTATTTATTTGTTGGAATGAAAAATTACATAATAATTCTATTTACTCGGCAATATTTTAGAAAACTAAATATATTTAGATATGATAACTTATTACTATAGTAATAAGATTTTTATTACTAATAAAACTATTATTATTCAACAAGACAATGTTTGATTTAAAACAAATATAATTTTGTATTTTTAGGTATAAAAAAAACATTAAATGCATATTTATTATAAATATAAAAAAAATTGTCAATATAGATAATATGAGTTGAATAATTATTTTGAAAGTTATTGTTGTTGTACACAAAAATGTATTATAGATAATTTAGAAAGCACATATTATAGGTCTCTCTTACAAATTATACTTTTGTACAATATTTCATAAAAATTTAAAATGTATTCTTTTTTTTATAAGAGATTATCCAATCTCAAATCTATATATGATGAAATATTTATATTTTTCACTCGTATTGAATAGTAAGAAGCTATGATAATTGAAATCTAAAATTTATTTTAAAGCTATAGGCTAAAAATATTTATTTCATAAAGATCAAACATCTTAAAAAAGATAATTTTTATGAATATTAAAGAAAAAAAAAGTTTAGTTAAAATTATTAACTATAATCGTTTAGGTGTAACATTAAATATAATTTAATGTATTGTAATAAACTTAAGAGTCAGAAATTTAAAAATGAGATTAAAATTCTAAGAATACATGCACTTTACTTCTTTTTGCCTACTTATTATTTGAAAAGTCCCATATTCATTTTTTTTTAATATATGTGGATAAATATCTATGTTTATAATTAAAAAATAAAGTACAGCAAAAAATTCTTGCTACCTTTTGAATGATGAAGTTATTTATTCATGCGTCTTATAATCTCTAATTTTTACTAAACGTTCAATGAACGTATAGTAAAAAGATATAAATATATCTTAAATATGTCTTGTATTTAAAGATATAAACATCGTTTATTTTCTATTTCTAATATCATTAATGTCTAATTTTATATTAAGTTAAACATAAAAAAAATGTCGTTTACTCAACAGTTTTTGGAATTCTATAATTTCAAGAATTTTTTCGTACTTTAAATACTTGAGTTGTTAAAATGTGAACATATCTATCATCGTAAAATAAATTCGTGTATATTATAATTTTTATGTATGATTCGATTTCTATTTATTCATTAATACCTTCAGATGCTCAATAATATCATGTCATTAACTCGTTAACATTTTGTCATCAATTTTTGTGACCATGTCAACATGGCCTTCCATCTTTTAGGGACTGATGACTGGGTTCACAGTTCGAGATTTGTACTAACCCGTACTTATGCTTGACTGAGCACACTGAGAATATGTCTTCTAAAGCCCTTAAAAATATGAGTTTCATTTACCACATTAACCGGTAGCTTCGCTAGATATTACTACTATTTATTCAGCTCTCGTTTGTCCTTTTCAGTAAAATACGGTATTGGGGGTTCTTTTTGACAGTGCTATGATTGAACGTAATCCAAAAAAATGTATAGTTTATACACAGTACACAAGCCTACCATTAAGATAACTTTAGCAAATCATCCATTTTTTTATGATCTTGTTGTCTAGTCAAACTGCTACCAAAGCTCTTTCTATTACCCATTTAAATAGAAAATTATCAGATTTATTTCATATTAGAAAATATTAACGTTTAAATCAAAATGTTTTAAAATACTAATTTTAGAATTTTTTTTTAAAGTTGTTATTTCCATTATACTTTTTTCACTGATCAATAATGACACTCAAAAAACAAAAAATGTTTTTTAAATTAAAAAAATGACTTCAACGAAAATATTTCTTTGACCAAACGTAAAATATTACGCAACTATTAAAGAACATGTAAATATTTTTGTTTATAAATCTGGAAAAGTGAATACATATTTATAGTGGCTTTAGTAGGGGACAAGGGGTTATGCCTACATTGACCACAGATGAATTGATGAGTAAAAAAAAATACAAATTTTTTTGTAGATTATATTTGACTAAGCTACTGACTTTGTGTTGAAATTTTGTTTTGAAGAAATTCAAATTCCCTCAACTGTCTTTATTCCGGACATGGTGTTTATAAGTATACATTAGTAGACATTAAAGAGACTCTTAAATTTTCAGAATCATTTTCATAAAAAAAAAAATGCACATAGATCATTTAATTACAATATTTATTTACCTAGTTTAAAGTGTAAGATATTACACTCTTACGCATTAAATTAAAAAAATTAATTTTTATTACATTCAATTACAGACTGAAAATACAGAAACACTGTATATTACCCGGAGAAAGGTGTAATAAACGACTGTCATAATGTCAACAAACATTAATGGGTCATTCGAGCACATGCCAAATAATATGAATTTTGTTGAAGGGTAAGTAAAAATAAAATGTCAATTTTATATTATGAATTAAACTTATACAGAGTGATTGATTAACTATGCCTTACGCAAAATATTTGAAAATATAGAACATATTGTATTTTTTTATTTTCCGAAGTTTATAGTATGTTATGTTCTATAATTAAAAAAAAAATGATTCTTTCCCCATCTATTTTTATTAAAATAGTATTAAATGTTTTAAATTGAAACATATATGTTTAATTTGCTTGAAAATAAGAAAATGGCTGATCGATAACAATTTTTAATCCTGTATTTTAAATATATTAACACTTTTATATTAATATGGAAGGTGTAAAGTGGGTCTTTACTGTCTATATGGGTTTCACTCCGAAGAGATTCACCTACAACCGTGACCGGCGTTAGCACTAGGTGCTATTTGCCAGGCACGGAGGATCAGTGAACGAGAAGCGATCTAGGTCAGTTCACGGTCAAAGTGTCTTCAAACAGAACACCAGCGCCGGACAACTAGGTCCGTACCGTTCGTCTCTGGTTTGCACCAACCTCGGGCACCCTGGTCGACTAGGTCTACCAGGGTGTTTAATTTTGTCTCTGTACATATATAAACCACACTACTCCTACCCTCTTAGTATAAAAGTGTTAATATCTTTTAAAATATGGGTTGCCACTTTCAAATAATAGTTATTTTTGCCTCACTTATAGTTAACACGTTCCCTTATGCGTGATAACATTTTTAAATAATCTGTTGTAAAATATCTTATATTATCTTATTTTTATTAGTTGTTAACATGCTAAAATGCTAGAAAAATAAGTTTTATTTCATAAACAAAGGAAGTAAGACCTATAGCTTACCTTTTGGAATAATCAAATTTAACTCGAAATTTTTTATTGAGTAAATATCATCAAAAATAATTGTAAATATATTAATAAATATAGTATTCTTATAAAAATGATAAAAAATTCCCTTTCGCTGGAAGTTATTTTTTACATTGATAAACAATTTTCATAAACCTTAGAATCTGTTCATCAAAAATAAAACTAATTTTGTTATACTTCAAAACGTCACTCCACCCGCACAACAAATATTCCTAAGGGTCAAAGATGGATTTATATAATGCCGCATCTAAAATACTTAGAATCTTTTATACAAATATGGAATATTTTTTTTTGACATTCTAATAAATAATATCAATCTAAATAAATAAATCGATTATATGTAAATAGGTGAATTTATTCACCATCGTGTAAATAATAAAATTGAATTAAAACATAAAAATGTTAACATGACTTCTAAAAAAATGTTTACAAATGATGTGAAAGATTCTAACTTTGTTTTCAGATTTGAAAGATATTATCCCTTGGTGTTAATAGTCCTGGGAAGTTTAGGAAATTGCTTATCAGTTTTGGTTTTTTTTGGCACCAACTTAAGAAAACAATCATCATCATATTACTTATCATCGTTAGCGATTAGTGACACAATATTCTTAGTGACCCAACTACTACCTGAATTGGCGAAAGCTGAAATTGCCGATCTCTTTTACATGTACGGATTTTGTCAATTTTCCATTTATTTAACACAGGTAACAACGATAAATAATAATTAATTGTACAGATGATCTGTTTATTATAAACCACTCGATTAAAACAAGTACAATATTAAAAAAAATTTTGGTTTTTTTTTAGTTACATTTATTTTTTGATTTATTAGCTATTAATTACTTTTCAGAATTATCTCTTATAACGTATAGGGTTTTGAACTTTTTAAAATAGTAACTTACATATTTAATAAATTTATGAAATAGAAAACTATCTAATTAAGAAAATGTCTGGTTGATAACAACTTGTGGTCCAGTGTTTTGGATGTTATTTTCATTTTTATATTTAGACGAGATGAAGGGTAAGGCCGAGAAATGACTAGTAATAAAAATAACAGCACCTACTCAACACTTTCATTCATTACTTTAAAGTCTAACTTTTAAAATACTGGTCCAAAATTTTAATTGACCATTCATTTTCTTAATTAAAATATTTTCTACTTTACAAGTTAATTAAATATGTATATTATTTAAAAATAATAACTAAGTTGACACCCCTTTAAGTTAATAGGGATGATTTTAAAAAGTAATTATTAGCTGAAATATCAAGAATTATATGTAACTAAAAGAAACCAAAAATTATTTTTCCAATATTGTATTTAATTTGCGAGTAATCGAGTGGTTTATGATTAACAGATCACCTTGTACATGTATGTTATAACAGTTAAATTCTTATTTCATAACTTGTTTTAAATTACTTATGGGGTTGAAAGTTTCACTGATACACAGGTTACAACTTATAACCACAAAATTTTCATACTTATCAAACTATAATCTAATTTTATGATATGTATAATTTATTTTCAAATTTTTTTATTTAATGCCATATTTCGGCGAATACATGATTAATTTACATAATCTTCTAAGCTAACTCTGGAAATTCTTCAAATGAAAAAAACACATTATCAGTGGTAATTAAGACAATATAAAATTTAAGTCTAAAATTAAAAAGGTCGGTATCTCTTATTAAAATTACTTCCTACTTGTTTTTACACTTGTAGAATATTTTAGTTTATAAAATAAGTTTATAACTACAAAATGTTTAACAAATTATATTTTGTATAATAAAATTGCAAATTTTTCGTTTAATTTTGATTATCAATTTTACAAATTTACAATAATGACGCAATCTGTTTTTAAATAGATTTACACTTCATTAATGTTTGATTGTAAAAAATTTACAGATGTGCAGTTTCATCAGCGTTTGGTTAGTAGTGGTGTTCACTTCAGAACGATTTATAGCTGTTCGGTACCCTCTTCATAGATCAGTAGTGTGTACAGTGTCACGGGCCAAAATAGTTCTTTGTGTTTTAATAACATTTGCATTTGTTGTGCACACACCCTACTTGGTTATTACAGGACCGCAAGAATTAATATACTCAGAAACGTAAGTAGAAAAATGTAAAGTCGATATTTTTTAATGTAATATTTTGTGTCCAGTAACAGATTTTTGGTTCATCGATACTTTTACATTATATAAAATGTAAGATGAAATTTCAATACGTACTTTAAGTAAATTATATTCTCCAGAACCACCCATTCAGAAAAATGTTGTAAATCTGCAACTGTGTGTGTTAGTAAATAAAGTCACTTTTTTGTTTTTTTTATTTTAATCCTTTGAGAAATAAAACTAGAATAGAAATAGCTTATCTATAAGCTCAATCTATTTTATTTCATTGTTATGTCGAAAATCAAGAATAGATAATATATAACTTATTATTTATCAAGTTCAAATAGTTTGCCAAGACTAGGTAAGAATTCACAGTTCAAACTGTAAATGCTTGAAAATACATGTTTACATAATGGACTGTTTTTGATGATGTTTACGGTTTTGACACAGTCTGTCTAAGTCAGATATCGCCCATACAATCAATGACCACATAAAGTTCGTTTTTATGTTCTAACTATTCGGTATGAAAACCACTTTAATAAACTGAAATTGTTGAAACTTATTATCTACGTCCGATTTTATGTCTACCGTATTATCATTACGGTTGATGGATTTGTATTCCAGTAAGAAAAGCCAAACGCACTGTTTAAATTTAATACACTCACTAACTTAAAATTATATTTTTTATTGTGATTTTTTTTTTTTTGTAAATACATGTATAAATAAATTTTGTATAATATAATATAATAATATGTACACGATTTTTCTTCATAATTTAATGAACAAGGACTATCGAAACTAATTAATATTTTTAAAATCAAAAATATTTTCAAAAACTAAACAGCACACAAACTATCTCGGTTACTCTTAACTTCAAGGACAAAAATAAAATAATTCTCAATTTATTAATTATATTTATATAATAGATTCAATATATCGTGGTAGTTACTAAGCGTGTATTTCTAATTTTTTTTACTGTATTTTTTTAGCAATTCCACAGCTCCCGCCTGCGGTTTGAATTTATCTTGGTATGGAGTATACGTATGGCTCAACTATGCGGATATGGTTGTGAACATGGTTGTTCCATTTTTCTTAATAGTCATATTCAACAGCATGATCTGTCAGTCAGTATGCCGTTTAGCCAGAATCAGACGATCCATGACACTTCATCCATCTAGACGGCGACAGTCTACGCCACACAATTCACAAAACACGTCACAGATTAAAGTCACTAAAATGTTATTAGTCGTGTCAACGGTTTTCCTGTGTCTTAACTTACCGTCATATGTATTTCGATTGTGGATAGTGTGGGACGAAGTAAGGCGGGGTAACGTTAAGTACCGGGTTTAGTTTATAATATTTGTATATCTTGATTATCGTTAATATTCGTTAATATAATCGTTATGATTCCAAAGACTTCAGGGCAGTTTAAGAATAATTATCATTAAAGCCTTACGTCAAAGTTGTTTGAATATTTTAGGAACAAAAATAATAATAAAAATTTGATGATAAAATATATCATACTGTTGCTCGCTCTATGATGCAAAAGCGATTTATATTACATGACTAATAATATTACGTCTGAAAATCGTCTAAAAGAACTAACAATAATTTATTAAAACTATTAATGCGTTTACTGAATATCGTAAATAGCGACTTTTCCTATAGTACTGTAATGAATTATACTAATAAAATTTAAATAATTATAATTCCATATTATACTATTTTAATTTTTTGTCATTTTCTACGTATACAGTGAATCAAGTAAATATTCGGACATCATCTAGAAATTTGCCTTTCGAATCACTATCGTCTTACAGACCTTGAAGTGTGATAGACACTATTAGAAAAATGTTTGACAAGTGATTAAACCATACTTAAAGGTCTGTAATACTATGGCAAATTATTTTTTCTAGATGATGTCTGAATATTTACTTAACTGACTCACTGTATTATACATTAAATTTATTGAAATAATCCCTAAAAAGGAACAAAAACATGATACCAGCTTTATTTAGTAACAAATAGTTTAATTTTGACAGTTTAAAAAGGAAAAAAAGTTTACAACAATTTTTATCCTTCGATTCAATCTTCCAATTATCATAAATTTTAATATAAATTAAATAAATAATTTATTAAGCATCATTAAAAAAAGATTTTTTTTTTAATTTAGAAAGCAACACGCAAGTACAAAAATTTACAGTTTGTTGCTAATCAGATGTACAATACAAATTTTGGTATAAACTTTGTTTTATATTGCGTTAGTGGTCAAAATTTTAGGAGAGCACTAACTGAATTTTGGACTCAGAGAAAATATTCTTATAAGAGATCCAGAGATACACAAGTTACAACAGGTAAACAAAAAGGATAAATTTTATTCTACTTAACTCATGAATTAATATTTTTGTTTGATTGCATGACAACTTATGATAAATAAGTAACGGTAGGTAGTCGAGAATTATTTAACAATTAAAAATGCACAATTATCTCACGTTTTTTGTCTTTCAGCACTTAGTCTAAATAGCATAAATACTGAACTTTAATTAGAAAATAGTAATTGATATCTATATATTAAACATGAAATTTGCTCGATCTAATAAAATATTATGAGTATAATGTTTATATTAAATGAAGATACATAAAAAACATCTCAGATTTATTGTTAAAATGTCAAAGTATGTTAAAATCTAGTTAACTTATATATGAATCAATTTATTTTCGAGCAAACAAAATGTCAAATTATGGTAAAATACCATTTATATTTATTTCCTTCAAAAAATTCAATATTACATAAAGAACGAAAATCGATAAGAGGGAGATAAAAATATTAATTATTTAGAAAAATACATTGATATAATAATAGTTACTAGCATTGTTTATAAAAAGTTCTATATTAAATTTTATAGCCAATATGATACCGTTAACTTGGGGCAAATGAATATCCATTATCATTAAAGCCGTGTCAATCTACAGCGCTAATAAAATATATACAAGTTATGTTAAGCAAAAAATATTTTTTCATAAAAATTAAGTGATTAAATCTGTAAGATACTTAACTGTACCAAGTTTAACACATCGCCCTAAGTTAACCCAGTTAATGTATGTAGAAATTCTTTTTTCGTTATTTAAAAAATTACATGAAATAAACTGTTTGTAAAAAATATATTCAAATTAAGAAATGATGATAATTAATAAAGATTTGAAATGTACGAGTTTTAATGTTTAATAGCTGACAAAAAATAAACACTAGATAAATTTTAGATGTATTTAAAGGGTTTCGTTTGACAATATGATTGATGTAGTAAAACATTTTTAGTGTTGTCAGAATTTTCTAAGAGCGGCGTTGGATCAAAACACGCAACACTAAACGGAACGTGGAAAGAAGTGCATGAACTCCTACCAATTGCCCATGTATCATGATGCCAATTATTAAAATGAGTTACTAATAATTTTTTTTGTTTTCACGTCATTCACAAACGGCATTAATTAGCTTTAAATAGATTTTAAAAGTTAAGAATAGTACAACTAATAATTAATGTTACCAAGTTATTATATGTTTATCTTTTATATGAATAAATTTTCATGTATTAGTTTATTTTACAGATTTACTAAATTATAAAATATATAGGTATATGTCGAGGATCTAAGATTAAAAGGGTATATAAACCAACATCTTACTTTTCAAAAAAGCAAAATTAAATTTTTATTTTCTATTTCAGCTTATGAAAAACTTGTATTTCTTTGCATAAAAAAAATTTACCTTCCAGTAAATTAATGGTACACCATTTTCTCGTTGAAAAATATTTATTATATTGGTTAAAATAGACAAATAATCGAAAAATTTCAATTTTGAATTTGAATTTCTATAATATAAAATTGTGTGTATAAAAATTAAATTTTAAATTAAATTGAATTATAATGTATATATTATTTTATAATTAATTATACTGATTTTGTTAACATCTTTATGTAAAAATAGTTTACTTAAGTATTATTTTAGTTAATTATTTATTTTGTCAATAGTAATAAAATTCTTTGAAGTACAAATAATAAAATTTTTTATTTCTAATAATTAACTTTAAATAAATATCAAAAGTTAATAACATTAAAATAACCTTGGAAAATGGTTAAAATGTAACCTATAACTAATCTAATTGAGAATACTCAAAAGGAAACTTTTTGATCTATATTTTTTATTAACATAATACAATTTCATTAAGAAATGCCTAAAATTATTTATACATAGTTATTCATGGGTTAATTCTCATAGAAGACGTAAAATTGCTAATATTTTAGCGAGATTCTTTTAACATAGAAAATTTAAAATAAATTAAACATGCAAAATGTCGCCGGAAAGTATAGTTATCAGTACAAAGCTGGACTATTATCGATAACGATTGTCCGTTATACAATGATTTTTATTCACGTATTATTAAATTATAAGTTTATGTAACATTTTATTGTTTGTTTTTCTTATAAACGATTGAAACGCTTATTAAAAAAGGGTTACAGAAGAAATACGACTCGATCTGAAAGTAGTCATAAATATGTATAATATAAGTATATTCGATCTTTATAAACTAATAAAACAATAATTTTCTATAACTGACTATAAGATAAACACTTTTTTTTTAGTAAAATGGATGCATATGATACTAACATTACCTTGTTAAAAAACTCTATCGAGCTATTAATCTCTTCCTTAAGTAAGTTATGTAGACAAAATGATACATTGCGGTCTAAAGTAAATGTGTTACGTGAAAAATCAAAAAAACTGAATGTCCGATGTCTATTTTAAATTCTGTAGACATCGTAAAAGAAAAAAAGGACTGTAAGAGTATATAATATTTTGTTTTACAATATATCAGATTCTAAACATTTAGACCTGAGTGATACAAGCTAATTAAATAAAGGATTATTTCTTACATTAGGATTCCAGTTACCATTTATTAGCTCCAAGTGGTCAAGTACTACATCTTTCAAACGTATTCTAAGTATAACTTTAAATACTTCTAGTGACATCCTATAGATATAAAAATCTAAATTCAAGTTTTATTTATTGGTTAATTTTAAAATTATTTGGATCACCACCGATAAGACCATTCTTCAATATAATCAAATGAAAGAATTAAAAACTGCACGTAGTAGGGAAAATATTGAAAACTCATTAATCAAATACAATAAGGGAGTACCAAGGATTTTATCCAACTAATTTTAACAAACATAAACAATTTAAGTAATAACAATTATAATACAAGTAATACTTTAAATCGTGTAAGATAAGTAATTAGTAAGGATGCAAATTATATTTATGCAGGTGACTATAATCTACTTCAACCAACCTATTAGTATATTACAACAATTTAATGTCTATAGTAGAGAATGGGGTCAAGAAAATTCTATTTATACGGACCTAAAAAAGCTTTTAATATTGTAAATAATGATTTATTGGTTACTAAATTAAGGGTTATTGGTATATTTGGGACATTATTATCTTGGTTTAATCCTATTTAACAAATATAACTCAACAAGTTATGATTCGGGAACTCTATCTGATATAACTTATGTTTCATCTGATGTTCCACAAGGATATCACCTTTCGCCGTTACTATTTATGATATTCATAAATGACGTATATAAATAAATTTTAAACTCCCATTTCTCTTTGTTTTCAAATTATTGAAATTAGATAGAATAGTATGGACATTCAAAAGACTGATGCTTTATTCTTATGTTTGAAATCAAACACTGCAATTTTATTTTATTATATTTATGTCGGCGGCTTAATAACATAATAACATGACTTGTAAAATAAAAGCTAATTATATTTATAAAATATTAAGATGGAGTTAGTTAATAATAATTGTTGGTAGTGGGAAGTCAGCTTTTTAACTTACAAAATAAATAATTCTCGAGGCATTCATTACTAGTCATTTGTCTATAACTTTGAGTACTATAATGGTAGGCCCATTAATCATCATAAGAATCCCATCCACGATAATTAACGTAGCAAATTACAGAGTGTGATTAAAAACTTACACATGCTATCTATATTTATATAAGCAGTAAACGAATGAACTTTCTTCACAGAATGTTAATTAAAAATTACACATGTACTTACGTGAAACTGCTATAGGAGATTCAGGTGGTACAGTAGGTGGCAACAGTTCGACGTTTCCAGAACCAAAAAACCTTTTGTCCAACACTTGTAGTAATTGTAAAGCTGTATCTCGAACAAAAGAACGTGGACAACCAGTATTCATCAGAGTAACGTTGATAATTGCTGTATAATGGTCACAAGGATACTCTCTATCACAATAAAACAAAAAATGATTGAAAATAGGAAAAACTACTCATTGTAAATTTTCCTTATGTAAATGCCTAAAAGACTAGAAGAATATCTCACATATAAAGTAATTTATATAATATGGAGACTAAAAATTAAAATCAGAAATTTGAAAAATTTGAATTGGACTATAGTAGACAAGGGCATATCTAGAACTTTTAGGGGAGGTGACTCAATTTTTTCTACTGTGGAAGACCTTCTAATAATAATTTTTTTGTTTAATGATGTATTTAAAATACTGTCTAGTGACAGTATTTTATTTTTGTTTTATGGTAGTGGTATTTTCTTAGGGTACTGACCCAAATCCTATATAAGTCTTAATCTAGCCCTGATAATGAGACACATAAAATTATTAAAAAGAGTTTAATAATATTAAAAATATTGTATTTTTATGGTATAATTAATAGAACATTTTTGAGCTCAATTGAATAAAATTGTTTTAAATATCACTTATACCCGCCATTTTATAGCGATAGATCTATTTTAATATAAATCATTGTTCTCCTTTTAAAATGATAATTTAAAAAACAGTAGCACGGTGGGGTCGTAGCACAATGTGGACATGACATAGTTGAGATAAGTATAGATGATATCTGACAGTGATTAAAATCACTATCATAATAAATGCTTCAATGCAAATCTGTAGATAGTGATTAATTTTAAGAAATTGGTGGATTATTCCAAAATTAACTCCTATTTCCTTCATTCTTCCTAATTAGTAGTTCTATGATTAGTAAGTATAATATATGAATAAATAACTATTATAGCAATTAAATATAATATGGTATTTATATTTAATAATTTAGTATTGTAATTTTTACGGAGTAATTATAAAAAAATTATAAAATATTTTATAGAATATTTTAGTGTATAATGATTTATTTTAGTAATATGATTTTACTACGTAATTCAATATAAAAACGAATTTTATACTCTTATTGTTTTTGGAGATTTTAATTTAAAAAAGTTTTATTTGAAGTTGCCATTTTTACTGCAGATATCTGTTTAAATTTCTAAATATAAGGTTTTTTTTTCAATATTTGGCGATTTTAAATTCAACTAGATTAAAATTGTGTTCTTTTGACGTATTGATCATTAAAATTGGTTCAGTGAAAGCTAAGAAGTTTTCTTAGTTTCACATCAAAACTAAAAAAAAATAATAATCAGTACCATATAATATTTTATGTTATTCAATTCAATTGAATTATATAATCAATCAATATTATCAGAACCTCTATTGATTAAAATTTAATAATAAGGAATTAATCCAATTAATAGTTTTTACTCACCTAGTACTAAAAATTATTCCTAAAGCTTGGAAACATGCATCAGCAACTAAAGGTACAGCAGTATAGCAACGATCTACTACCCAGTCAAGAAGTGATCCTTGATCAGGGTTGCAATCCAACAACAACACTAATGTTTCCAGTGCTAATTGATGAATCCGTTTATCAAAGTGCGCCAATAAAGGGTCAATCCAAAGATATAAGGGCCCATCTGGTTCTGCTAAATTATGATTGAAACATGGACCGCATGCAAGTACAGCACATGCTGCTTGTAAAGATGCCATTTGCAAGTCATCCTTAATTAAATCTATGGTAACTAGTTTAGATGACATCCCAATTGAAGTACTATGCTCAGCCCAATTACAAAATAGGTTAAATAGATTTTGCCTCAATTCTCGTTTTAACAAAGTGCGATATGTTCCAACTATACAAATTAATTAGTAGTTAAATTTTTGAACAATTGTTATTTTAAAATTGTAGAAATATTTGTAATTAGAATATGAAAAGAATATCAATCAATAGTACAAAATTACATAATTAAAAATATAAGTGTTATTTCATTTTTCTCAAGTATAGAAAATTAAAAGTTTGATAATAAAATATTTAAAACCTAAATTTTTCCAGATATTAATAAAAATAAGTCTTACTTTCAAAACTTTTTATCATCTTCTGGACAAACTTACAAAAATATAACTTAATTTCACGCAAACTGTCTTTATCAGTTTCCAGTTCCAAGCAAATTCTAGCTCCATCTATATATTCTTCAAATGTTGGATGTAAAGAACAAGAATCTCTTTCTAATACAAATGTGCTAGGAAAACAAAATAAAGAAAACAATTTTTTATTTTTTATCTACTTTGTAATTACCTGCACCCAAGGGTTCCATATCCTGCAATTAATTCAAATACTCTGACTAATTGTAAACGTAATGCATCTCTTCTTCTACGTCTTCTCATATTTTCTTGTTTTCTATCTACTGCCTCTTTTATGAAAACGACTAGTTCTTCCATTAAATCTCTATACAAAAATATAATAGTTAATAATATATTATTCCGGAATTTTATCAATATTAATCTACTTTAATGCTTCAGGGTTAATAGTTCCCAGAGCATAAACAGCTGCATCTCTTACATCTGCTACTTCACATCTTAATAAAGGTGCTATTAACTTATACAATGCTGTTGGTGTTACATTTTTACTATCATTTCGTTCACCAGTAGCTAAGCTATCAGGTGATGAACTTAAACTTAAATCAGGAGAAGCACAGCGTACAATGGGACTTGGAGCAAGTGGTACAACACACATTGCAAACATAACATAATACCTCCACAAAGTTAGATATTGATCACGCTCAGTAAGTGGTTTTCTAGGCGGAGCTGAACTTCTCAATAAAGAAGCTCTGTTATCATTTACAGGTCTACAAAAATTGATTAAACATTTTTAATATGAGATATTTAAAAACTAAATAATATTTACTTACGTTGGATCAATGACAGTAAAAAGATTTTGAACACGAGAAAACACTAAAGGCCAAGCTTGAGCACTAACAGGCAAACATTGTTTTATAAGTACATTTTGTGATAAAATCCCAAAAAGTATAGTTCCCCAAGGATCACTATTACCAGATCCGCCTAGTAAACTTAAAGATGAAGCAGTTTTTGGAGAATTAAAGTCATCTTGAATACCTAAAAGTACAATGGAATTATTATTTAAGTTTTGAATGATGATAACACTACAAGAAAATATTTACCAGCTGTCCAAATTGGATGATTTCGTTCAACAACCCATTGAAGATCAAGAGAATTGGCAGCTAAAGCAGTTAAAACTGCTGATTTTTCTAATGAAGGTAGCATGGGTAAACATCGCTCTAATAGTTCAGGTATAGCTTTATCAATCACATCAATTACTGGCACTTTTTCCTTATCTAAAATTATATATAAAACAGTGATCTATATAAATATATACATACAGAATTATAAAAGAATCATTCTGTATGTATACAGGATTATTATTTTATTATAAACCACTCAATTAATTGAACAATAAAAGTAATATAAATAACTTTTATATTAATTATTTTAGTTCCATATTTGTCTTAATTTATTAATCATGAAGTAATTTTTTAGTTCATCCCTTATACCTTATAAAAGTTACAACTTAATTTTTTCAAATGAAAGTATACATAATTAACTAGATTATTTTTAGATAATGATCTAATTATGAAAATGATTGATCAATGACAACTTTTAGACCAGTATATTGGAAGTTATTGACATGTTTATATCTAGACAAGAGGAACAGTAAAGCTGGCAAATATCTAATTATAAAATTGGGTACTGATATTTTTATAATAAACACCTCACCTCCAGTTATTATTTTAAAATGTTAAAAACTTCTGAAATAATGGACCAAAAGTTGTTATAGACTAATTATTTTCTTAATTAAATCATTATCTAATAAATAAGCTAGATTATATATGTTCCCCTTTGGAAAATTAACGCTGACACCTTTATAAGTTATAAGGGATGAACATAAAAAATATTTCATGATTGATAAATTACGAAAAACATTGAACCAATAAAAAAATTATCAATATTATTTTTATATTTTGATAAATTAAAAGGTTCATGATAAATAAATCACCTATATATAAATAATTTATAATACACAAAAGTATACCCAATATTTTGATAAGACATTTCATTTCACGTAATATATGAGCTGATAAACGACGAGGACAAGGACGACAGTTACACAACATTACTAAAGCAAAAGCTTCAGTTTGAGATAAATCAACTCGGTTACATTTTTGGTGATTATCAGTTAAGTTTTTGTTTTTTTCAGCCTGATTTTTAATTAATCCTATAGTTAAACTATTTTTCCAGCTAGTAAATAATTGTAACAACATGCGTAATCCATTATCAATCAACTTTGGAAATGTATCTTGAACATCACGAGCCAAGAATTGAGTAAAACCTATAACATATTAATGTAAATAAAAATTTATTTTACTTTTTTTAGAGAAATAATTCATGAATCCAACTCAATAAATAAGTTACACAAAAAATAATAATATTGTTGATATTATATAACCAGTAACTAAAATCATTATTTAATTGATGAATTACATTCTCTATTACATAAATAGTTATTAAGATTAATAATTACTAATTATCACATCATGGCGCCATTCAGGATAGTCAATAATTAATGTTTGTAAACTTTGATAAGCTAATGCACGTAACTCTTCATCCATGTGTACTGTCAAACGGGATAACATATCTACAAGTTCTGCACCAGTCATAGTTTCAGGAATTAAACGAGGAACTGCTGCAACGCAAGTTCGAAAAAGATCAATACGAGGTTTTCTTTCCCCAGTAATCATTTCATCAGGCTCCTAAAATATTTTATAAAAGATTACCTAATTAGATAATAAATAAAATTATATTAAATATAAATATATATTTTTAAGACTTCATAAATCATTAAGAATCATAGAAGCTCCCCAAAAAAGAGGATTTTTAAACTATAAATACTCCAGGACAGGTACTCGTTTAGTAAACAAAGCTGTCTGTAATCAAATTTTTTAATTGAGACAGTTTGTATTAAGCACTGCCATATTACCAATTCAGACACACTGTTTTTTATATTAGATAATTACTTATTATATACCACTACAAATTATTTTGGAACATGTAATTGTTATAACTAGTAATGGGCATTTTCGAATATTTTAAACTATCGAATAACTACTCAAATTGTTTTTATACAAACAAATAGTTTATTTTTAGCATAAACTATTCAAATAGACTACCGAATTGTTTTTAAAACTAATGAATAATTTTTTAAATTATTCGATTATATTGTGTAACTATCGAATATTTTTACTATTCAATATTTCCCATCGCTAGTTATAACATATCCTTAACGGATAACAAAAAAAATTTAACAAAACAAACAATTACAAAAATGTAATTTTTAATTCAAATAAAAAATGTAATTAATTTAATTAAATAATAAATCTTTTATTTTTTCAATGCTAAATAAAAAATTCTAAATCTCACTGTATTTAAATTATTAATAAAATTAATAAACCATCATAATATGATAGTAAAATGTTCTTAATTGCATGTATATTTCTGTTCATCTATTAAAATTAAGTAACTACAATAATATTAAAAATGATATTTTTATTAAATTTTGATTATTTTATTATTTGTTCAAAGAATCAATTAGGTTGAAAACAGAAAAAATGACAACTAAATTTTAGTTTAAAGTTAACAATCTATAACTTCAAAGAATGATTATCTTAAATAAATGTTCGGAAAATTTAATTATTGTAATTATTACTTTAACTAATAAATGATATATTATTTATAAAATCATTCAAAAAATAATTATTTATTTACTCATATTTTATACTAACTTTGTTCATATTTTGAGTACATGTCATCATTAGTGGTTTACCATAATGTGCATCAAGTGCTCGTAATATTTCTACAAAAACTCGTCGAACATTAGGAAAATATGTGTGAATACCAATGTTTCTTGCAGTGTCTTCTGTTAACATCTATAAAAAATAAATTATTTAGTTTATATTTATGATACTTTTAAGATACATAAATAAAAGCGTATAAAATTATATTTAATAGATATAATTGTACCTTATTCAAGAAAGTTTTTTTTACACGTAATGTATTTCCCGAAGGTAGAACTCCTGATGTACCTGGCATTGGTGGTTCACCTTCTTTTTGTTCAAGACTATCAGCTACAACAAGAAAAGCTCGTAGTCCTATACTCATTCGTTCAGGTGTAAGAATTAATTTAATTGGACGTCCAACACTTAACAAATCATAAATAATTTCACGCATAGCAAAATCTAATCTCTCCTTTGATCAAAATTTAAATACATAAATATAATACAATGCATATATTTTCTAAGATAATACAAAACTTACCTGAGCAATAAATTGGATGATTTTTACAAAAATATTGAGAGGAGTATCACGAGGTACCACAGCTTTAGATCCTTTGGGAAACAAAGAATTGACAATGCTTTGTAATCGAGATTGCGTTGCAGAATTACTTTCACATTTTATTCTTACCATATACACCCAAAGTAATCGATAAAGAGCCTCTGATAACAAAATGAATATTACATTTTTTATTTTTGACATATTTATGTAAAGCAATAGATACCTAAGGCAACTCTTGACATGTTTGGATCTCTATTTTTCAAATTTGACAAACACATAGCTAAAAAGTAGTGCCAATTTTGAAGAAAAAATGTTTTTTGGCTAACACAAAGAAGACAAGTAACCAATGGAAACAATGCCAATTTATGTTTTGATTTAGTACACATATCTAAAGTTGTTGAATAAAGGGATTCAACAAAATTTTTTAAGCATGGAACATTTACTTCGTTTTTTACTATCTAAAACAATAATCAATTTAAAAATTCTAGACAAAATCTTATTTTTAATTTAAGTCTCATATTAAAAAATAGAATAATCTTCCCTTCCTCCAGTATAATTTCAAAGTATCAGTTTACAAAAAAAATGTTTATCGGTTAAGAACTTTATTTAATTTGAATACATCAAAATTATTCAATAAATTTCACGCAGAATTATTACTATTATTTATTTTTTAATTTTAACTTTGATGATCCAAAATGTTTGATTGTTATACAGTACCCCAGCCATTGGTAAAAGAATTTCAACAAATAAACCAGCCATTGAATGTTTCACATCTTTATCTTTTACTTCAAGAAAATACTGTGCACATTCTTGCATAAATTGAAATGATGCTTCAAAATCTTCAATCGGGACCATCTAAAATTTTAAGAAAAATAAATTACAAAAATCAATTTATAATAGATAAGTTTATTCTAAATTAAAAATTAAAGTACTTAGAAATTATTAAATTAAATTTATAGCTAATATATTATTAAAAATATACAAAAATAATATCAAATTTTAATATTTGATTTAATTATATTTATTATATATTTAGTTCATGATAATAATCATCAAGGGGACACAGCCTAACTGTGTGTATACTGACACATCAAAAATAATGTCTGAAGTATTAATTGCAATAATGACTGACCAAACGCATAAGTATAGGATTAACCCATGTTTTAACATATTTAGAGCAGGCTTGGCCATCTATAAAACAATATTATTAACTAAAGAGAATAACACTCCAGCTGCAAATTTGGTAGCAATAGAGCAGGCCATGATAATACTGTTGATAAACTATATATAACTACATCTTCAAACATACATAACCAATGAACACAGAAATGTAAAATCAAATCTTATTTAATTGACACATAATTTAAGAAAACAAACTTGGAGAAACAGAACACAAACTCTCAGATAACAAATATTAAAAGAAAAGACTTGATAATATTCAATGAAAATTGGACATTAATGGACAACTCATAAATACTTACTATATAAAAAGGAACTGCCTTTCTTCTATATATGATAAAACCTATTAATCATTAAGAACTTATTAATCAAATATATAAAATACAAGGATATCATTCATCAACTTTAAATGTCCACCATAAGGAAAGTGTCATATGAAGAAACAATCTTCTTTTTCCTTGCCTTAATTCCAAATACTTGGCGATGGTCACCCTTATCCTAAACTTCCATTTGACACATTCTCCTACATCATCTACGCTTACATTAGCCATCTGCGATATCGCATTCAATAATATCTGAGATGGGACAATCTACCTAAGTTTTATTCAGGACTCCTCATACTTTTTAACAAAATTTTATGCCGGCTATCAACTTGTCACAACCTTATTAGTTGCCTCTTACAACTGGCAGAGGTGCCATTTATGTATGCTTATACCCTATCCACAGGGAATTGTCATATGAAGACACAATAAATCTATAAAAAAAATCCTAGAATTTCATAAAATAGTTAACCTATATAATGTAATATAAATGTACTAATGTATTATTTAAATGTTGTAAATAATATTAACCTTAAATGATCTTATAATCAAATATATATATAACAAAAAAAATGTAATTAATTTTTTTTTTAATTTGTAATTTATATTCATTATATTAATTTCTATCATTAATTTAAATCTTGTCTTTATAATAGTTAAATTATGTACCTTAATTCTAAAGAACTTCATCCCCATTAATAATGATATTATAGCTTGAGTCACATGTGGGGATGGTTCTTTAGCTCTCAATTCTTTTAGCTCAGCTATGAACCGTTTTCTTACTGAAAGAAATCTAGATTGAGCTAATACTCCCAAAACCTCAGCATATAAATCAGCAACCATATGAATATTTTGAGCATTAGGGCAATTTTGAGCACTAATTACATAAATAATAAATAAAAAAATTATTTTAATGAATACATGGTGTAATGATATACATAGTACATCAATAATGTCATAATAAATTATTTGTATACACATTACATCATTAATGTCATAATGTATTATTTAAGACTTCAATCAATCAATTACACAAAATAAAATGTATACCAATAAAAATAAGATATATATATGTACCTTTTAAATATTTAAATATACTAATGAAATTTTGTAGAAAAAAACATATATTAATTATATAAAACTAACAGAAAATAATAAACAATATGTAATGGTAGTACATAAAATGTAGAGTAATAAACTATGTCTAAATTATTATATAAGATATGATAGTATTTTATAATATGTAGAACATTATTGATGAAAATGTAATAAATAACATGTAATAAATTACGATTAATAAAGAAATAACGGTGGCGTCGGGGATCACTACTTGCCTTTAAACCACGATCAAATATAATATAAAAAGTCAAAAATAAAGAGCATTCTGAGACAGATGCAGTCAGATATTTACAGAGACACTTACTATGCTTGATCATTCCACATAATGAAATATATGCAAAAAGTGATCCGCCGTCTTCGCAATTATATTTGTACAAAAAACACAACATCTATTTATTTAAGAGTGTCACAGAAAATATCAAGGTAGGAATCTAATAAATTCACCAAAAATAAATAAGATTTAGAATTAAATTCTATGAGTACATAGATTAAGTAGGCATACAGGAAAATCAAGTAATCATCAATAATAATAAATATACCAAGTAAATTTAATAAATCGATAATGTTTGTACAGAGTTACTTGGCAGAGTTATATTATTGATACGCATCTATTTCAGGAGTTAGGTTGGAGGTTCATATGTATAGCCACCATACCACTCTGGGTAGACACACGAGGTGACTCTATCCCACCTATCATCGATAACCGTCAAAACTCCTGGCATTATTGATGTTTAAAAAAAGACAATTAATTATAATGAATCCCATATTAATAAAATAAAGATCACTTTATTTTTCTATCATCTTCTATTTTTCTCACAGAACCTCGTACTCATACCCCGAGTAATAATATTATTAATACAATGAAGTAGTGGATCAAATAAGCACCCAAATCCCATCATATTCTATTTAATTTATTTCTTTTAAGTAACTTTCAAAGTACTCTCTAAATTAATACAAGTAATAACCCCCCCCCCTTTTTTTTTAAACAACAAAAAATATTATTTTCTTTTTTTGATTCACTAGAATGGACTATGTTAGTGAGGACATGGTCAAGTCAAATTTTATCATTCTAAGGTTATTTAACATTTTCTATTGTATTAGTAGATTCACTTTCTTTTTTCATAAGTAGATTTATTAATGATAATCCTTTAAATTTGATAAGTGACATTTACTATTGGGTAAAATTATTTTGGATTATTCAACTCCTGAATAATTTCCATTTTTACTTGACTACCTTCTTAGAAAAACCATCCATTTAATTATAATTCATAATAATAATTACTATAGTAAATAATAAATATTATATTTCTTTTATATCATACCCTTCACGAAATTTAAAATGCTTAAAACATAAGTTTTCAATGTAGATTACTAAATCTTCATGCCCTGGATGAAATGGTAATTGCTTCAACACTTCTATCAACGCTAAACAATATATGAATTCTACTGCTAAATCTCTTCTCTCACATATCACTTCAACATCTTTATTATCAATTATATCACTTTAATAGAATAAAAAATAAAAAAGTACATTATTTAATTATCATTAGTACATGTAACTGTTATAAGTTATTTTATACTTTTTTCCTTTAAGTTCGATTTTTTTTGAATCAGTGGCATTAATGTCTAAAACAGCTATTTGCCTATCATACCAAGCAAAAAGAGCCTTAAGTATAGAAGGTAAACAATGTTCAGCTACAGATCCAAATGCAATCAATAACTGATCAAATTGTACATCTTCCCCTCGTTGTAATATTTTCATTAATGGTTTATCTTGATCATTCATAACCTCTTCCATTTTTCTTTCAGCCTGAACAGTAAAATCAGCAAAAAGAGTACGCATTACATACTCTCCTGGTTTAATATCAGTATCTATATTAGGAAATGGAGAACGTTCCTTATGCGCGCCCCATGGTAAAATAGTAATTACACTCTGTTGTTGACTCTCTAAAAAAATTGAAATATCATAGCATAGTATTGATAAAATAGATGGTTAAACACACGCATGTGTTTAGTACATATTTATGCATTTTTTAGGAATGACATTCAATATCACATATGAGATATATACTAGAGTAAATATAACATATGACCACAGTGAAGTATGACGTCACAAGAGTATTTTATATACCTCATTTGTGCACATGAAAATACAGAATTTGAAATGTTTATTTTATTCTATAACTCATTTTACATAAAATTTGCACTTCACACATGTGTCCACTTAACCATAAAAATTAATTTGTAAGTAAATACCAGTCAAATAGTTAATTGTTGACTTAGTTACTGAATTTAAAATTGTAGATGATACTTGAGAGTTTTCCAACTGAAGTGGAATTGATTTTGAACCAGTTTCACTTTGATTTTCAGAACTATCAGATACATAGATTAAACCTTAAAATACATCATTCAAATTTAAATTCAAAAATAAAAATTAATTCTAATAAACTTTTAGTTAACAAAATAATATATTTTTTAAATTTTATTATAAATATACATACCACCAACATTTTCCCTTAAGTTATTTTCTACAGAAGACTCTGTATCCAGTTCATCCATAATTAATAGCTACTTTTGTTTTACTAGTTTTTGCAAAATATCTCCTTATTTTGAAAATTCCAATCATAAAATACCATAATATATGTTAAAATTATAATAATTAATATATTAAAACTATTTTAATAAAACAGATTTCATCAAGATCAATAAACATACAAACATTAATGAGTTTAATGTTTTCATTAAAAAAATATAAAATATCAACAAAATCTGTAATGAATAGTTTTCTCTTATCACATTTAAATTACTGATAACATGAGCTAAGATAAAATTTTATCTTAGTTCTTGGATAATAAAAAATCACTTTTATATATGTATCCTGTGATAAAATGATGGAATAAAATTAGGACGTCCTAGTTCACAGAAAGAGAATAATCTAAATAAGATTTTAATCTTATATAAATAATATTCTTTAAATTTAAATATTATTCTTAATACTGAAATAACGTTATTTCAGTAAACAACCATAGCATCAATACGTCCCCATTTTTGGAGGCTGAATTTAATTTAGTAAAGGGTTATTTACTCTAGGTTCTGTTTAATACGATTAGGCTAAAGTTATTTTTTAAATCACTTTTACTTAAAAATTAAAAACGTAGCCGTAAATTAGTTTTGTATAATATGTATAAATATTATTTCAATCGTAGTTTACAATTGAGTGAAGAAAACTGCCAATGTTTTACTAAAATATGTTCGCCATATTTAAAATGATTAAAATGTCATATAGTGTCATGAATGATCATATTGAATTCATATGATGTTCATAATCATGATTCGTACAGTTAAAAGAAAAGCAATAAATGACCTTTTTTCAAAATATGTTTTTTTTAATAAAATTTACCTTGTAACAACATATAAAATAGACAATTTTCAATTGTGAAATGAGTATTTTATACCTGAAATACGTTACCATAAATATTATCAAATATGCAGTTTTATTTAAAAAAATACTAGTTAAATTGTAAAATTACTTTTTAAGAGACTTTACAAAGGAGTAATATGGGAGCAATTTAATTTTCAGAGAAGTATACGTACCAGTAATTCATTTGCAGTTTAATTTTTAGAGGAGTTTACATATGAGTAGTTTAGTACGTGGTTGATATGTAAAACATACCGTAGCCCGTTTCTAGATTAAGGAACAGGGATAAGCAGACTCATCATCATCTTCGTACACACTACTCTTTACTCCACCCTTCCTTTTGTGTTACGACAGACCCATCCGATGGTCTGGATGCTTCGCCGAAAAGATCTGGCCATTCGCAGTTGATGGCTCTACTTCATTATTCAAAAAAAAGTAACAAGAAAACAACAAATATGTGCACTCTAGGACAGCCAATGACAGAACAAAGATGAAGAGCCAACACTGATCTAACGGTAATTTTAAATCGATAACGGCCAGTCTATTGGGAAAGATCAATACCGATAAACAATTCGATTTTAATTATATGTATTCTCTTCTGTCGCCTTAACTAGCGGTCAGCGGCAAAAATAATGAGTTGTTGACACCACTATGTCAAAAAAAAAGCTCATTCGTGCAATCTCATGCACGATAAAAAATAAAATATAAGTAGACATAACAAAATTTATACGCGGTCCACCTTTTAATTTGTGACGTTCGTTACACACTTATCAATAAAAATTTTATAACTTGCTGTTATTTGCTGGTTACTATATAAATCTTTTCTAAAAAAATTATTTTGAGTTTCCATAAATTTAACAATCGATTTGTACAATTATAATTAATTTTTATAATACGCTATATTAAGTAGATTTTTAACAACTTTTTGATTGATTTAAAGGTTGGATATATATAAGAAAGTCTCCAAAGAGACTCGGCTCTATTAACTCATTGAAAAAATAAAAGTATCAAGAAAACAATGGAGACGAAGAGCCAACACCCATCTAATGAAAATTTCAAATCGATAACAGCCAGTTCGTATTTTTAAGTTCTTTATAATTTGTTCAAAAGTTAAGTGTGTAGCCGGTAAAGTTACACATAGCTCGAGTTGGTATTACCCCTCTCAATGTAATGACAACAATCGTGTCCGGCACTACCGGCACCTTACGAGCACTACGTCGGTGTACGCTGAAACGTTTCTACGTTTGTTCTCTTTAAATATGAAAGTAAAACACAAATTGTTCGACTAATCGATTTGTTCTGATTTATTTTTATATAAAGATGAATATATACATATATTAATAAACTAACTACTATATCAGTCTTATTTTAGAAACTATTTAATTTGGGGTGAAGTAGAAGTATAACCCTCTGGATCACGGTTGGTAACGAGTAGTTACGAACACCGTTGCAAAAGGTTAAAGGGATTTTTACAAAAAGACAGTTATCTCGATCACGGAGGTTATGATCACCGTTGAAGATGAACTGTATTGTATAAGTGGTGGAATCTAACCCTTTGGATCACGGTTGGTAAAACGTTTATTACGAGCACCGTTGCAAAGGATTAAAGAGGAATATTTAGGAAAGACTAGCAATCTTGATCACGGTTGATAACACGATGGTTATAATCACCGTTGAAGATTATGACTAGCCTTTTAAGAAAAGAAATATATATAATTTTGATCACGGTTGGTAACGAATAGTTACAAACACCGTTGAAAAGTATATATATGTAATAAGAATTAATATAATAAAAAAATAATAAAAAAAATAATAGATAAATACTTTAATTTACATTTTTTGAATAAGGGTTGTCGAACAGCGCTGTCCAGCGGACTTTCTTGCAACTGTCAACCAATGATAAAGCAGTAGCGTAACGCTACAACGTGATTGAAGTCGTACCGCATCTCTTGAGTCTGATGACTCGTGGCCAGTGAGCTGGCGTGTTTTTAATTTGTTACATTGTTTTTTGGTTGGTATTGGCCTGTTTAGGTGACAACCAACACTTTATATTACCAGTAACGTGCTATTACTCGAGTGCTCAACGGAAATAGAGCAGCGGAGGTTGACATTCCATACGCAAAAGGAACAATTACTTTGGGAAGCGTTTTGGCAGTCGATTTAACGTTAATTGCACTATGGATAGCTGATGGCTGGGTGATGTTTCGTTTTTGTTTGTTTTTTTCTACTATTATTATTCTAATGTTAATATATTGATATATTGAATATTTATTAGTTTATATATATATATGTATAATAAAGTTACTGTTTGGAATTGATATTATACGATTGTCAAGTAAAACCCCCCGATCCGTCATTTATGTTAAGATAATTAACTTAACGTTAAAAGTATAAAGTAGTGAAATAATTTACTCTGGGAATTGTAAAGTTTCATTTCAATATATTTTTACATAATTAGATACGTTTTTAATTAGTTTTCTGATTTTATTGGAGTGATTATGTATCAATAAATGTTCAGCCACTGGACTTCTTTTTTATTTTTAATGTGTCTTAAGAGCTTTTTAAACTAAAATCTTTTAGCTTCGATGCGAAGCGGAGAAAGTATAATTAATTTTACTATGATGTGTTTTTTTTTTATATATATCTGTTGCCACTTTTTCTCAGCTCTCACTGGGCCGATTTCTTTCAACAATACGTCAAAATATCACAAATCGTATCTAGTTGAAGACATTACCCTTAAATATTGAAAAAAAATTCCCTCGTTCCCCGCAAATGGGGGAAATATCCAAAAAAATTACAAATTTAAAAATCGCTAATTTTCGAAATTTTTTCACTTTTTTTTCTAAAAACTTCCATAACTTTTTGAAAAATCAACAAATCAACATAATTTTTTTTTATACTAAAACCTTAAATATTTACCTTTCATTTGATATCATTTTTTTGAAAATCTATCACTTAACCTGCTCATTGGGGGGGATTTAAAATGGCAACTTTTTTACAAAAATTAATTTTTTCAACTTAATTTTTGAAAATGTTCCGGAAAGACTGCGTCCTTTAAACATATATCAAATTAAAGCTTATTTTATGTACTACAAAATGAAAAAAAAAAATTTGTCCCGACACTTTTTTTTCTACATTTAAACGGCTGCCGTAGTTAAAAAAACACTATTTTTGTGTTAAAATTTTCGATTTTCGATTTTAAATTTTCAACTTAAAAATGCTATAACTTTTTGAAAAATGTATATATCAGCACAAATTTTTTTTTTCTAAATACATTATAAGTACATCTTTCATTTGACATACTTTTTATTAAAATTGGACAATTTCCCCTTATATAGGGGGCGTTCAAAACTTAAAATATTGTAAAAAACATAGATCTTTTTCAACTGAACTTTTGAAAATGTTCCGGAAATACTGCGTCCTTTAAACATATATCAAATCAAAGGTTATGTTATATACTATCAAATGAAAAAAAAAAATTTGTCCCGACATCTTATCTTCTATGTGCAAATGGCTGTCGAAAATTTAAAAAAAAATGTAATGTTTGCGATAAAAATTACATTTTATCGGGATGTTTTTTGTACTTAAAACTGCCATAACTTTTTCAAAAATGAACAAATAAAAATAATATTTTTTTGTATTGAAACCTTAGATATTTCCCTTTCATTTGATATAATTTTTTTGAAAATCTAATACTTATTCTGCTTAGTGGGGGGGATTTAAAATAGTAACTTTTTTACAAAAAATAACTTTTTCAACTTAATTTCTGAAAATGTTCCGGAAATACTGCGTCCTTTAAACATATATCAAATTAAAGCTTATTTTATGTACTACAAAATGAAAAAAAAAAATTTGTCCCGACACTTTTTTTTCTACATTTAAACGGCTGCCGTAGTTAAAAAAACACTATTTTTGTGTTAAAATTTTCGATTTTCGATTTTAAATTTTCAACTTAAAAATGCTATAACTTTTTGAAAAATGTATATATCAGCACAAATTTTTTTTTTCTAAATACATTATAAGTACATCTTTCATTTGACATACTTTTTATTAAAATTGGACAATTTCCCCTTATATAGGGGGCGTTCAAAACTTAAAATATTGTAAAAAACATAGATCTTTTTCAACTGAACTTTTGAAAATGTTCCGGAAATACTGCGTCCTTTAAACATATATCAAATCAAAGGTTATGTTATATACTATCAAATGAAAAAAAAAAATTTGTCCCGACATCTTATCTTCTATGTGCAAATGGCTGTCGAAAATTTAAAAAAAAATGTAATGTTTGCGATAAAAATTACATTTTATCGGGATGTTTTTTGTACTTAAAACTGCCATAACTTTTTCAAAAATGAACAAATAAAAATAATATTTTTTTGTATTGAAACCTTAGATATTTCCCTTTCATTTGATATAATTTTTTTTGAAAATCTAACACTTATTCTGCTCACTGGGAGGATTTAAAATAGTAACTTTTTTACAAAAAATAACTTTTTCAACTTAATTTTTGAAAATGTTCCGGAAATACTGCGTCCTTTAAACATATATAAAATTAAAGCTTATTTTATGTACTACAAAATGAAAAAAAAAAATTTGTCCCGACGATCTATCTTCTATGCGCAAATGGCTACCATATTCAAAAATATGCTATTTTAACAAATTTTTTATGGGTTTTGTATTTTATTTTAATAGAAGTTGATGTTGCTTTTGCAATTATCCATCAATTTTTTAAAATTAAACACTATCTACAGATTTGCATCGAAGCGTTTCTTATGATAGTGATTTTAATCACTGTCAGATTAAATCTATACTGGACCCTACTATGCAATGTCTCNTTTTTTATAATGTTACTACGTAACATTTATTACAACTTTTACATTGTATTTTATAAATGCTCGATTTTCCCCTTCTTTTACCTTATTTTTAAGGTTACTGATTAAATCTCTTAAATTATTACTCTTAGATGTTACTGAAGTAATAAATAGAGGTTTGGGATAATATAAGGTTGGATATATATAAGAAAGTCTTCAAAGAGACTGGGCTCTACTACATCATTGAAAAAATAATATAAAATAATGGAGATGAAGAGCCAACACCATCTAACGGAAATTTCAAATCGATAACAGCCAGTTCGTATTTTAGCTTCGATGCGAAGCTGAGAAGGTATTAATTTTACTATGATGTGTTTTTTTATTTTTTTATTTTTTTTTTTGTGTCTGTGAACGCTCAATCTCAGCTCTCGCTGGACCGATTTTGATGAACAATATGTCAAAAGATCACAAATCGTATCTAGTCGAAGACATTACCCTCAAAAATTGAAAAAAATTCCCTCGTTCCCCGTAAACGGGGGAAATCCCCCAAAAAATTACAAATTTAAAAATCGCTAATTTTCGATATTTTTTCAATTTTTTTTACTTAAAATTGCCATAACTTTTTTAAAAATGACCGAATCAATATAATTTTTTTTTTTATAGATACCTTAGATAATTACCTATCATTTTATATATTTTTGTGAACATTTGACCCTTTAACAGCCCAAAGGATGGGGTTTCAAAATGGTAACTTTTTTACAAAAAATTAACTTTTTCAACTTAACTTTTGAAAATGTTCCGGAAAGACTGACAATTTTATATATACCTTAAATTAAAGCTAATGTAATATACTTTAATTTGAAAAAAAAAAATTTGACCTCTGGACTTGTCTTCATGGTGAAAATGACTACCGTATGCAAAAATATGCTATTTTTGTGAAAAAATTCTTGATATTATATTTTACATTTTTTAACATTATGTTGCTATAACTTTTTAAAAAATGCATGAATCAACTTTATTCTTTAATGATAAATACTTTATATATACTTCTTTCATTCGACATACTTTTTTTTAAAATCGGACCATTTCCCTTTATACAGGGGGGGTGCAAACCTTTTAAAATGCGTATAGAAAGTAGAACTTTTTCAACTTAACTTTTGAAAATGTTCCGGAAAGACTGACACTTTTATATATATCTTAAATTAAAGCTTATGTAATATACTTTAATTTGAAAAAAAAAAATTTGACCTCTGGACTTGTCTTCGTGGTGAAAACGGACATCAAAGTTAAAGAAAAACGTACGATTTCCGTGAAAAAAATCTCGATTTTATATGTTATATTATTTAATTTATATTTTATATAACTTTTGGAAAAATGTATGGATCAATATTATTATTTTTTTATAATAAATATTTATATACCCCTTTCATCTGGCACGCTTTTTTTGTAAATCGGATCATACCCCTTTAACAAGGGGGGTCAAAACTTTAAACATGCGTATTGTTACTACGATATTTTCAATTTAATTTTTGAAAGTATTCCGGAAATACTGACACTTTTAAATATATCTTAAATTAAAGCTTATGTAATATACTTTAATGTGAAAAAAAAAAATTTGACCTCTGGATTTGTCTTCATGGTAAAAATGACTACCGTATGCAAAAATATGCTATTTTTGTGTTAAAATTCTGGGTTTTGTATTTTATTTTATTTTAAAATACCTGACAAGGGGAGTACAGATTTTCATAAATATTATATAAATTAAAATTGATATAGTATAGATAGTTAAACTTATTTAAATATGTTTGTTTCTTTTAAGTCGAGAAAAATAACTTTGAAATTTGAACTAGCTTAAATAGCCAATTTTTCAACCGCCGGAAGCAACGTACGGTTGCCGAGTTGGTAAAATTTATGTTTTACACGCTTGGGGTACGAGGTTCCAACCCGCATATGGCAATGAATTTTTTGCATTTTTTCTTAATTCTTTTTAAGTTAGTATAAATTTTAACTCGTTTGATTTTTATCACATTTAGATTCAATAACTTCAATAAAGATCAAGGATCCCATCACTTTAGTCGCCCCTTGCAAGAAGAAATTTCTTATTCGTATTAAAATTATTTTACTATATTTTAAGTTTTCGCTTCGATGCAAAGCCGAGAAGATATTTTTTTGTGACTATCATTTATTTTCTCTGCTCTAACTTGACCTACTTTTTTCAACAATACGTCAAATTACTACAATTCGTATCTAGTTGAAGATATTACTCTCAAAAATTGAAAAAAAAATTCTAATTTATCAATTAAACAGTTAGTTATTACATCGTCTCCATAAAGACAATTAAAATCATTAATTTCTAATGTTTTCAAAATATTTATTAACGAATGA